TCCGAACTACGTAATAACAGTTACTCGAATGGATGGATGCGTAGCTGAGAGGCTCCGTACGGACACCTGTATTGTTTACATTGAAGAACGCTCGAGTCAGTGATACCAAATCGTCCCATAAAGTCGCAACTGGGGAGTGGCAAAGTAGACATGATGAGGTAATTTACGCCAGGCACTGTACAGGGGGCGAGGAGGGGGCATGAAGAAATTGAGTTAATGGGATGTCTAAGTGTGATGTGGGGTGGGGGGAGGAAGAGGAGGAGGAGGAGGAGAGGAATTTACCTGCGGGTTGACAATCAAGTGCAGTTAAACTTCAGATGGGTTGTAGTTTGGAATTAAGTGATTAAGCTGTGCCTTCCATTCCATTGTTCTTGAAAGTCTAAGTGACTCCTACAGTTTACCATGCGGACATACCTTCTGCTCGCAACCCTGTCTGCTATCATACACCAAGACCGTGACAAAATGTTGCATCCACTGCCACGCAGGGTTGAGGCAGAGAAATTGCGTCCTCATCAAGGAAATCCACATGGAAGTTGGGAGATGTGAAAGTCAGAGGATCCCGTTTTCCTCATCTCTGTAAGAAATACTCGTAGGTAGAAAAAACCAGCATCATTTTCCTCCTTCCAATTCTCATGTCTTCTCGTCATCAAATTAAAAATCCATGCTAATCAGACCACTCTTGATTAAGTATGAAGAAATTTACGCGCTGATAGCCTCCCTCTTTGTTTGTGCTCAAGTTCACCATTGTACAGCTCTCAATGCCGACGCCTTTGAAAATCAAAGATTAAGAGTAAGAACAGCGTAAAGCAAATGGCGCAGCGCTGAAACAGTTCGAAGTTTGAAAGTCAACATGTACACCTTGTGACTGTTTAGAACATTCAACTTCACAAACAGAGACGCTACCATTTGCGGACGAAGTAAATTGAGTAATTTAGTCGCCTACGAGGAGCGAAAATAGTTGAAATGCCTCGTAACACAGTGACAATTACGTTTACAACCAGAACACAAACTGTTATGTCCTTGGTACGCGGACAGCCACATCTATTCGATCCCAATCTGCACACCCGCCAGGTCCTCTATAGTAAATGTTAAAACAAGGCACCGATTCGTCTTCCTAGACATAATCACTGCATAAAGCAATCACATATTTGTGCAGTTACATGGGGAATACTTAGTAGCCTGGACTTGAGAAAGTGCCCCCAAATCACACAACAAATGCATGACATACATTACAGTTCGGAACACACTAATTGCCATATCAATGAGACAGATTTCCTTACCGAAATGCGTACAGACTTGGTGATGGCAAAAATGACAGCGGATAGACAGTTTGCTCAGGGTTTGCCTCCGGTGGATGCTGTAATGCAGGAAGGAGGACGTCATCCTCGTCTCATCCTGTATTCTCCACTTGCTGTTCCTACTTCCATCTCTATTACCCCAGGATTAGGCAGATCTGCAAGCCAGCGCCGTGGATGAGTCCAAATTCGGCTGAATCAGCCTACTTGGCAGTAGATGCAACGTTTTGTCACAGTCTTGGTGTGTCAAAGCAGACAGAGTTCCATGCAGAGGGTGTATCCGGACGGCGGGCTGTAAAAACCACTCATTCTTCTTTACATAAAGGAGAAAACCAAACGAAATTGCTTATTTATTGCACCAGCTAATGATAACTTGGAACCAAACGTAATAATGAATTCTGAATTCACTGGCCAAGTTCACAACCTCTCTTTATCTAATCATCCAAGGAGAATAACGCTGCTTTAAGTAAACCGCCTACCTTTGAAACTGCAGGACCCCTCTTTATTGCAGCATCAACGAAGATGCACATTGTCTCCTGCTGATCCACGACATCAAGCTGCTCTTTTACTTATTCACTATTTGGAGCCTTATTACTGCCTAGATTCCGGGAATACGGTCTCCTACTCCCTCACTACACGCTTTTAACCCTCCAATTTGGCAATGATCGCATACCCCAATGTGGAATTCCAGAAAATTCTACAGTTCGCCAACAAACCTGAGCACCTCACTACACAACTCAGCCATGTTCCCTTACTACTCACTTCGCAATGTAATCTGCTTGTACTATCCCGTCATTCCAAACCAACGAGCGCAATCTCAATTGTCTGTTGATTTAAATGGCATATAAATCTGCGCCAAACGTCTAACCTAATTTATCCACCAACTTACGCAGGATGAATAAAACTAATAAATTTGAAACAAACTAACCATTCCAACGTTCCATTTGATCTAGCGAGCTCACGCACATCCCAGCAGTATCAATGCCAAAAGATATGTAGTCACAGACAACTTACATATTACACGAAACCACACCACTACACTACATCCTCCGTTCGAATAATGGTAGCGTTTGACACAACTGCCACCTTCGCCACTCCTATTGGCCAGTTCTTTGATGTCTTAACCAATCATTGTTGTGAGCCAATGAGGTCCAGCCAATGGTTGTGCTCTAGTGGTGGTACTTCGTAGGTCATGCGCCAGTAAAAGGAAGGTTAATTTGCATTGGCTCAGAGTGCGGAAACTTATTTTTCCTTGCTTCAAACGGCCAGCCCTATCGTCCACCCAAACACTTCGACACCTTTAACGCCTTCACTTCATCTCCCCTTTTCCTGCCTTTAGTTAGCAGTTATGTAAGAGAAGACTGAACATCATTGCATAATCTGAATCTTAATATATTAGAACCTCAAAACGAATTTCCCACACTTTCATCAGCTTTGTGCTGAGTAACTCTATGTGACTCCGAGAAATAAGCGCATCCAATGGATGGACTAAAGTAAGATGGAAGCAATAAGACTTGACTACATTTTAATTACACTAAATGCATCCTTTTAGTTTCGCAAGTATGTTAAATGTTGAGTCTAAGATGTTGGGTTCGATGGTGAGTGAATGTAGAAAGACATCCAAGTCTTGGCAGACCTACCATCACCTTGGTATCTGATTTTTTCTTGCCGGCGTAGGCTGGACTTCGAGCTAAGCCAAAGCCCATTCCCTCTCCCTTCCCTCTAGATACACGTATTTTTAGCCCTAACTATGGTCTTCTACTATCTAAGAGAAGGACTGCGGAGTTGTTGGGTAAAATTCTGCACTTTGTTAAAACGGATTCCATGTTCAGTGAATTCTCCACTCACCAAGGCAAGCACTGCCTTCGATACCGGTAGCTCCCGATTTGATAACAGTCGAAACCTTCACAACAGTCCTTGTCCAATTTGCATGGCTGAAAATACCCACGACATCGCCTGCAGGCGTTACATCCGTTTGCTAAAATGCATATGAAAAAATTTCTATGCTGTAAGCAATAAGTAACCAAATAAGACATTGCAAATGACAGTGATCCGAGTCCTTGAATCAGCAAAGTATTCTAATGGTGAAATTATATTAGACGGAATGATGCAAGGTTAAAGCCAAGGAGGCGTAGCACTCACATAGAGCGAAAAACACTAAAGCAATGCACACAAAGTTAAGCATGTGTAGAGGAAATATGCACAAACATCAAAAAATCGCAAGTGGGTCGGCGAGGTGGATACATTTTCTAGGCAGTTCACTTGTGCTCAGGTCTTTTTTGCATACACAGAGCGAAGAATCAATGTGATTGGAAGAGCTTCTCACAATTGGCACAAGCCACCCAGAGTAGGGTTTGAGCCAAATGGACATTCTTAGTATGGCTAATATAGTCTATTGACATTTTGGAATATGACAACATTACCGATCGCAATCGATACGCAAAATCAAAATCACACTGAGAACTGATTTATCACGCGTAGAATAATGGGGCTCACGAACAATTTCTTGTAGAAGGCCTTTTTATCGTAAGCAAAGTAGAAGAGCAGGTACCTATATTGCCGTCATATAAGTTAGCGCATATATGGTGTAAATATTTTGCCAGTACTATTGTGTATTATAATCTGAAAATTTTGTTTATACACATTCTTAACATTCAACCACTTGAGGTCATTCCACGCGATATCGTAAAAAGTTGGTCAATCAAATGGTAGGCTTTTGTTAGTTATGAATTGTTTTACCCATGTAAAAAATTTCTACACAATTACCTTACCATGATATTTAATCAGCCATGTTTTAACAGCAATTTCAAGTTTCTTCGTAGTATTTTAATATCTTTTTTATTAAATTTTTTATGATTTATAGCGTTATATTCTAACAGTTTTTAAATTTTACTAATACGTTTGCTATTTAAGCGATATACCGTACGAAAAACAAGAGAAATTAATATTGAGTTGGACGAAAAGTTATATCTTTCAAACATCAATCAAGTCAATAAGATGGGAGATTCCGCTCAGGCTACAAGTTATGCCTTATATAAACATTGTTCGAGCACATTCTTACCTGCATTATTTTTCACTAAAATGTTTATTTAGGATATGTAAAATTTGGATTATCCAGCGTGTAAACGAGAATATATGACTTGATTCTGAAGGCGCTATTAAGTCTTTAAGCGTGTTTTACTTATCAAGACACTTAATTAAGCACATAATTTGTCATTAAAGATAAACTTGCTTTGACGCAATCTCACAAGCATTTATGAACACTATGTTAGACTAAGTTCAAGACCTTTTGCAATTTTATTTGTCATTTTTATGACTAATATTACATCTCAACATTATAAAATGTTAGAAGCTCATTTTGAGCCGATTGTTGCATTCGCCAGTGCTTTTCTTCTTCATTTGTTACATTTTTGCACTAACGAATTAAAAGGTTAAAAAATTCGTTCGCCGCTTTAAGCAAGAAAAACCAATGACTTTAGAATATAGGAAAAATTGTTGTGGGACTAATAAACTAAGAGTGGCTGCTTAATTTTCGTTGAATAGCAAATTTTTTAGCATAAAGTAAAGTAAAGTTACGGCCCCCAGTAAAAATATGACACTTAAAATTGTATTTTTGTGCGTGTGTGTTCTCTGGCACAGGCAAAGTCAAAGGGTGGAAAGAAAAAAAAGACCTCAACTGTCATTCACGGAGTAGTGACCTCCGAGATGACCAAGGAGGAAATTGAGGAGTACGTGGTACTACTTCGAGCAGAACTGGAACGCGAACGTGCTGAGCGCAACAAGACAGCCTTGGAGCGGGACAAGGTGACAACCTTTTGGGAGACATGCCGTCAGCAGGTTGAGGATGCGAGAGGTCTGTTGCGAAAGAAGGAGCGAGAATTGGAGGATGCTGAGGAGAGACATCAAATGGAGATGCGAGTTTACAGACAGAAGGTGAAGCACCTGCTGTTTGAAGAAAATGCAAGACAGGTTGATGCCCGCCACGACACTGCAGTAACATTAAACACCAAAGTGGAAGAAACTAGAGTAGAAGTAAGGGAATTGTTGAACGAAAATTACACCCTGAAAGCCCAAATGCGACTCCGACAGCTGGAGTCCGAAGAGGCGATCAAAATGCTTAAGAAACAGCATGAGACCGAGGTGAGACTATCTGACCTTTTGTAACAAATCCTTTTATAATTTCCTGTCTTTCATAAATTACCAATTACGGTCGAACTTCTGCAGAGAACATAGTAAGACAAACCAAAAACTTACAAATTTACTTCGTATTCGCTTGTGTATCGTGTTACAGATGACAGCCCTGCGTCAGGACTTCATTCTTCAAGCTGAGGAGTTGGAACAACGTGCAGCAAAACACGCAGCTCAGTTACGAGAGGATCTGGAGACACAACGTGTCAGTGAAATTCACGCCACAGAGGAGCGCAAGAATCTCCACATCAAGCAACTTGAAACAGCTCATGACAAGGCCTTCAACAATATGAAGAGTTACTACAATGACATCACACTTGGCAATGTCAATGTCATCAAAACCCTTAAAGTAGGTTATAAACATGCGACCTGTGTCATGCATCTCTGTGACTTGCCTCCGTAGGAGAGCATTGAAGACTTACGGTCGAGTCTTGTTCGCATGCAACGTGACCTTGAGTTGAGCCAATCAGAGACGGCGCTTTATAAGCAGAAATTGGAAGAGTCAGAGGAGCAGAATAAAAACCTCCGAAAGGTTGCACACCTCTTCGAAACAGAGAAGTCTGCACACAATGTAAGTTACACTTTAATTCAAACGGTATGCATGGTTTGGATACTTGCAGTCTCTGTACCCCGCTATTTTGGAATCTACGGATAAATCCCTTATTAATGTTTGGAGTCTCTTTTACAAAAAAATAAAAGCAGAAGGAGCTAAGAGAATTAAGCATAATATAAGCTTAGTGTGAATGCTGAATAAAAAGCATAAAGTCAATGGAATAGATAGATGCTCGATGGTCTTCAAAACACGAAATGGTAAGGCGTTTGCGAATTTTAGGTGACAAAAGCCAATTTACGCCTTACAAAGAAGACGAAGGAAAACAATGAAATGCTCTACAACATAGCGCAAGCAAGACTTGAAGAAGTAAGTTCTCTTAGTTTTTCTGGCTTTGCACTTCATCCGTCTGAACTTTGCGCCAAAACATGTAATAATATGACAAGTGCCCTGATTTCAATGATCGTTGTTCGCACTGACAGAAATGCAATAAAAAGAACATATTTTTGCTTGAATTTAGCTAGAAGCAGAGAAAAAACGGCTAACAGATGGGATGGAGATGACCCTGCTGGAAATAAAGCGTAAAGCCGGTCTAAGGAGTGCATTGTTGGAGAAGAAGTTGACCCACTTGGTGGCAACATTGGAAGCCAAAGAGACGGAGATGCGCACCCTCATAATAGCCACAAATGCGGATCCAATTGCCGTAAATGAGTCCCGCAAAAACTTGGAGGTACTTATTTTCTATTTATCGTACACTTCTGTATGTTCGATAACTGTCAACTGGATTTGGAACAAGTTTCATTATGCTAACTAATTTTTTAATTTGGTATTACTTAATGTTGCTCATTATTCTCTTTCTTCAACCTCAGGAATTGTTAAACAAAAAGAATGCAGCTATTAGAGAACTCCAATATGAAGTTTCACGTGTGGCGAAGGTGCGTTTTATGTTCCATTTCGGAGGCCATGTTGTAAAAATCCATGGAATTACATTTTTCGTTTCTTCATAGAGTTCCTTAAAAGAGATAATTATCTTCACTACCATTGTGATTGTTGTGAAACACTTTCGGGCCTCCTTGTCCCATTGATAGGCTTTACGCCATGTTCAGCTAATTGAAAATTAGTTCATTGGCTTGTAGGCTTACACAGATTTGTGGCAAGCATGTCAAGAGAAGTTGTTGGAGGAGATGAGTCACCCTGAGAATCTGGGGATCAAGCCAGTGGGTGTGAATGTTTCGCTCATTTCGCCCTTCAACCCCGCCACAGCTCAGGCCAAACTGCTTAATCTCACCTCAGGCGCAAGAGGAACAGCCAGTGAGGTGATACCGGGCAAGGGACCCCTTGGACTCACCTCCATCCCACCTCTGTGAAGATCAAATTCCAGAAGTGAAGGACTTGTTGACATTAACTGGTAATAATAGTTCTGATGAAATCCATGCGAGGCGAGGAATGTCTAGACACCTCACAACTAAGCGCATGATCCATGACTGTAGCCTCTATGCCACTCGCTTCAACTAATTTTCTTTGCAAGCTTCATTAGATTCTGGCTTATCCGACTGGGTTTAATAAGTATAGAGGCACAAAGTATGGTTGGGCAAAGGTATTTAGGCAAAATATGTATAATTTTGTCCGGATCTAGTGGTTAGGTTACTCTGTAGGCATGATGCTTTGAGCGATTTCTCGATCCCAACACATAAGATAAATTGAGACACATCATTCGCAGGATGAGGATTTTCAAGACCCACCCAACTAGTTCTCCAGTAGATAGCATTAAATTTTTTTAATTGTAGGGGATAGTCCAACGCACCTTACTCCATTACGAAAAATAATAAGAAATTTTCAGATATAACAAACTTGCCGCAGATGAAGCGATGGTCTCAGACAAATGAATGACAACATTCAATGTTTTATTCTTCTTACATACTTATTTATTATTGTTTGAATCAGCATATATATTTCTTAGCCTATAAATTACGTTTTTATAACAAAACTTAGCTTAAGGTTGTTTTAAATTGCCTCCAATTCTAGCGTCGAACTCAGCTTTTCGCTAGCTGGATTGGTAAAATGGGTGATCGCTATAACATTCACACGCAGCTCGAGCACCTTCAGTCGAAATACGTTGGTAGGGCAGAAGTATAAGAGCCTACTTTTTTAGGGACTGGTCACGCTGACACTATTAAGTGGGAGTGGCTAACAAATCAGCATCGCGATACCTGCTCCTCTTATATGGGACACTTCGATTTGCTCAACTACCTGGCTCTTTGTGAGAATGAATCGAAGGCACGAATTCGTTTTAACCTAATGGAAAGAATGCTTCAGCCATGTGGCCCGCCACCTGAACGCACTGATGCATGAATCTGCACATATCTGTAAATATACTGATCTACTATTTTCTTGCATATCTTCCTTGACTGAAGTTCACAGACAGAGCATGGACCACTGAAAACGCTTCATAACACGAAAGTAATTTTGAAAAACATTTGTATTCTTTCGGGTGATAGCATTCATGCACATCTATTTCCGTCTCGAGCGCAGCTGCTTAGCCTCCTTTTCAAGGATCGAGTTGATCACATGTCGTCTCAGCACCCGCTCTTTTGCATACCATTGCAGTTTGTCCACCTGAGTAGGTCTCAGCACTTCTTCTCGGCGTTCCTTGATCACAATGTCAAAAAGACCGCGCAACTTGGCTTCCGCATCGTTTCTTTCTAGACCTAGACCGATCAGCTTGTCTACCAGCTCATTTAAGTCTCTTTCCTTCCTTTCGTAGAACTCCTCCCTTGCTGCGGCAAGATCCTTCTTAAATCGAGCTAGTCGAGCCAACCTTTGCTATATCGAGTAACTCTATTTACAGCAAAAAACTCGAAGTTACCTGATAGCATTCGCCTCTCACCTTCTTCTTGCGTTTATCCTCCTCTGACCCCTCCCCGAAGTCAAAGGGATCAAGATGGCGGGCAGTGTTGAGGTTAAGCGCTTCCAGCGCCTTCTTGTAGTCATCCTTGTTGAGGGCTCGTAACCGCCGCAGAAGCCGCATTCTTCGCTGGACCAGAGACTCGGTTGCTCCTCTTAGTGTCGACATCTATAAAGCTTGCTGATGCCGCAAGACCAGTGCTTACTCTTGGGAATTCTCCAAGTAAATACTTGTTATACCATATCTTGAAGGATATACTCAAAACTATAGAAGTGTAAATAAAAGATTTCGAAATACCTTTTGCAAGCAGGGATTCATCGGTGGGGTGTTTGCCATAGGCTCCCATAAACTCTGCAAGCTGGTGGTGGTAGTCATAGAACTAGGAAGTCTATTGTGACATATTACATTACCGATGGGTTGCATCCGTAGGTAAAAACCTTTTTCTGTTCATCACTCAACCTACACAATGGAGGGATAAGAGGGTGGGACAGGTCTCATACTCCTGGAAACCAGGCAGATTTTCAGCGCCTGCTATGATAGACTTCGGGTCGGACGGTTGAAATCGTTTGTGTTCCCCTTAAGTTGGTCACAGGTAAGGTAGTCGTACAGTCAAAGCTGAACACAGGTGGATTTTTCCGTGGCAGCTTAGGCTGCTTTGAGAGATTTAATTTGGTGTACCAAGCACCGTACAATGTTGTACTTGTACCTACAAAGTTAGCACCACTTTCCAACCTACAGATTTTGGATGCAACAGCTGCACCTGCATTTACGAACAAATTCGACACTGTCGTACTGAACATCCGGGTCCAATTTACCAGGCTAACTTATTCCTTATCATGCGAATCCCAATATCACGATTCGCATGTAAATGGGAGTTATGTAACTTTTCAATTAACCTTTAAAACTCAACAAAATATACTTTAACATTACAGGGTACTTTGCAGTACTTCAGAATTATTGCATATTTAGTTACATGGAGCAACAAACAGACTCAGAAACATGCAATTCTTCGCGCTTTTTTGGTGAATCATTGGCTTGGTTTCATGAGAAGTTTTCAAAAACAACTATAGCTCGCCTTAGTTTTTATTTGATAGCCACCCCGATTATTAAAAAAATGTGAATCTTTACACTCATTAAACGAAAGAAAATTTATTATTACATGTGTGCATTCATTGCGACTACGTTGAAGTTGACTTAAGGCATAATAATACTGCAGAATTTATGCTTTGGTGATCAAATCGGAATTGCTTCTGATTTCGTGTTTTGGGACCAGCACATCCGCCGTTGTTGATATAACTAACCGAATGGCCATAAACGAAACCAGTCGTCAACCATCCAAAATCGTCGATGTATTCTCGCCTTTTGAATGACACCGCAGAACTAAATGAAAGTGTCTTTAGCCAACCATGCCATTAAACATCATTCAAAGCAACCGAGAAGATAGTTGATCAAATGAATTCAGGTGGAAATGAGGGTTATTTGGATCAAGAACTAAACTTAAATAGTGGGGATCCACCGACCGGCATAGACCATAGCAAGAATTGTGAAAGTGAGTTCTGTATAAACCACGATTCCTTTGGCATATGATTTCTTATGCACCCAAATTGAGGGGTCTTTATGCAGACATGCTACGACAGGTATTAACGGCTTTTTTCTAAATAGGCAGGCGTTAATGATTAACATCATTTTGTTCTTTTGCTAAGTGGAAGTTGGGGATTTCCACATCTGTAGCACATGCATTTATTTTACACCGTTAAAGTTTGTGACAAAAGTGGGAACCAGAATATAAGTCTATTTAAGGCTGAGTCTAGTTTCCGTTACCCCCAATGCCACAGGTCAAGACTTCCCGAAGGACAAACGATGTTAAAAATGTTACATCTGATATCACAGTCTCTGTCGCAATCCCTCATCTTCTTGGTGCTGTCCCCGCATTCTCAGTGGTCAATAGTCTGGGTGACCGGGTGCCCAACTTCGGGGTGATCTGAATGCCTTCCCAATTCCACACACTTTGTACTTGGAATTCTCTCTGAATTGGTGCCTTTTTTACAGCTTACCTATATTTAGAAGCGTCTGCCTGGTGGAGGGCAGCAGTAAGCCTAACAATGTTCCATGTTGTACTCTCCTTTATGCATGGACATGGTAACTCTCCAATCCTTTTAAGTGCCACTGCTCTAATTCATTCTACTTGATGCTTTGCTCCCACATAAGCTGTGTTGTGGGCACGTTTTAAACAAATTGGTTTCATACGATACAATCTAGCTTACTCATCCTGTATTCTCGCCTGTGCTTGTGTGGCTGCATTTGTAAATCAACACGCGCACATACATCTCCCCATCCTACCTTCCTACTCACCTACCCACCGTCCCCTCCACCCCCTCTAATTATAACCACTTAGCCCACATGCAAGCATTGAAGCAAGCACACGCTCACAAACACACACACACCACATTGACAGCTCAACTGTGCCCTCCACACCCGGGCCCTGCCCCCCAGCCCTACCGTTTCCCCAATGGACTCGCTTTCTATCACTGCCAGTAATCTAACGGAAGAGCTCCTCTGCCCTGTCCTCCCTCCTTCCTCTGCACCAAACCATTCCCCTCCCCTCCTTGCTCTTGCTCTCCTCCTCCTCCTCCGCCTCCTGGGAATGAGAAGGAGTCATGCGTGCTTCCTCATTAATTGCCTGGCTGCCTGCTTGCCGATGGCTTGATTGCATGCCTGCTTGGTTGTTTGCTTACTCGAGTGTTTATGCGTGAGTCTCCTTTCGATACATTCTTGTGAGTGGCACTTACGCCTCTTCTCTAATAAAATTCAAGTCATCACAACTAATTAAATGTTATTTGTTTTAATGCGCATTCACTTAGGCTGTCTATTCACCTCTTGTAGGTTGTACTTTTGCTCCAGGGAGTGGCTGTGTGGTTCAACTGGGCCAAAGAGGCGAAACCATCAACCAACCTCACGTCTTGAGGTTCCACCTCACTTATGGTAGTTCCTGCCTCGTCGGGCTGTCTCCTTCTCCAAATGGTCTGTTGCCGTGAGGGAGGAGAGGTGACACCATCATGTGTGTTTTGTAGTCAGGCATGACACAGGAGCGTCAAAGACTATCCGCTTGTCATTCTCTACTTCAAACATGTACTGCATGATAAATGTCTCATTTTCGCTTGTTGTCATGCCTGTCAACCAGCTACTGGTGGTTGATGGACTACAACATGGGCGGTGACGTGTTTCTTCATCCAACCGACGGGCCATTGTGTGTAGTTAAGGTGGTCACTCCACTTCGTCTTGCACAAGCAGACTTGAACGGCCGGTTGGTTGTGTTTGCAGTAATTTTGGACTGTGTGATCAGCCAGAGGCCTAATTGCAACCCGACACAGAGGTGTCCAGGGATGTCATCGTAAAGACGTTGGCTAAAGTTGACAAAAAAAAACTCAACTTCTTGCTACACAAGAGCGTACAATGCGACATTGAATGAAACAACATCATTTTTAATTTGAGCGTTTAATTGGCATTATTTTACTTTACCCATTTCTGCTTCCTACACTCCATTCATCATTGGAAAGTGTGTGAACGCAATTAGTAGAGCATTTTTCTTTGGTGCGTCCAAAGAGGAGGTCCGCATTCCTCGTTCCTTCCCGTTTCTCCTCTGCCCTTCGTCCTGCCTGCCCGCCCATCTCCCTCCTTCCTTCCTGCCGTTCTCTCCCGCCCCTCCTCCATCACCCTTCTTTTCTCCTGCCTCAATAAAAGGCACCGGCTCGGAACTGCCAATTTGCCTAAGACGTAAAAACGCGTGACATTTACGACCTGACAACCACATTAAAAGGAGCGGCAATGCCATTACCAGAGGCCGAATAAATTGCTGTCAACTTTTTGAAGAATACGAAAAAAAAAAGGAAACATTTCGACATTTTGATAATTTACCCGCTTTATTTATGATGTTAATAAAAATAGGGTTTTGAGGTCTTTTTTTTTTAATAATGCAACTTTATATGTGATGCGTTTTTTGTCTCTTTTTTGATTGACAACACAAATTTCGTGATGCTTAACTGTTTGCATGCTTGATGCACACCATTGAGGCTCTGCTTGAAATCACGGACACGACAGTGGTGGTACGCTAAGATGAATCTTAAAGTCGGTCCAATGGGTGCCAATTTTCCTCATGATGCTGGACAGTGTTAAGCTAATATCATGGCCTTTGACCAAGCAAGGCCATAAAGATGGGCAGAGGTCCTCTCCTCCCACTTCCAGCTTTAGCACGTCAACCACCTCCCCAAGGTCCAAGTTAAAGGTGAGGTGTATGAATTGGTCCATAAAGTGGTGTTATTTAACAAGAGGAAAGAGCGTAATCACTATGTCTGCATTCCAGGGGCGGTTCCACTGGTTACCAATGCAATTTCAACCTCTCTTATCATGCAATGAAAAAAAAAAGCACTACTCTCACCTCCAAGATTACCCGCTTAGGTGATGCCTCCTTCGCAATCCATATCGGTAGCTCAAGCGCTAAGTACGTGTGTCAACAGGTCGACCAATCAACGCGCCTCCTTCCCTGCTTCGTCCTGCAGGCCAATCGATGGTTTACAAATAATAAATTTACTACTGAATAACCATGAGTATATCTACCAACTCTTGGCGTCCAATACAGCATACATCTTAAAAGAAGTAGTAATTTTGTATAAAATTTCTCTTGAAATCATTAATCTTCCCCTAATTTCTACTTTGTTTGCCTTGTGGTTAAAAATTTTGGCTACTATTAGCAATACCTTATTTGTAATGATTACTTATTATTTTTTCTATGAAAAGACGACCCTTGTGGTGCCATGTCTGGCGGTTCCAAGGCCTTGAAGCTGAGGCGACCTAATCGTTATTCGTGTGGACGAGTGTCAGTCTCATCCCATCCCCCTAAATGCTGAGGCTCGGAAGTTTTCCCATAGTTATTTGTACACTTAATCTGGGTATCATTCTGATGTAATAATTGGGAGGTGTACAGATGGTATCATGAAGAAGGTTTTGGCATACGACCTCAATGGCATTTTGCTTAGCTTGACATCCAGACTGTCATCCAAATGTCAACGTTAATGTGATTTACCCAGAGTGTAGTAATTAGGCAGACTATGATAGTGCGAATTGCCACGTCAGTCTAACGTCTACGCCTCAATCTAAATGACAGGCACGGT